CTTTGATCTGCATTCAGACTCCATAGTTCTTTCTCTGGATATGGACAGCATTTTCCATCATGAGACTTTTGGAGTTATCTTAGATCCTTGCATTGCTGAGAAGGGTTAAGTCTATTATAGTTGATCATCATACAGTGTTGCTGTTATTGTGTACAGTGTTCTCCTGGTTCTGCTCACTTCAACATCAGTCCATACAAGTCTTTCCAGGTTTTTCGGAAGTCTGCCTGCTCATCATTTCTTATGGAACAATAGTATTCTATTAGATTCATATACTCTAACTAGTTCAGCCATTCCCCAGGTGATGGGCATCCCCTCAATTTCCAAGTCTTTGCCACTGCAAAAAGCTGCTATAAATATTTTTGTACATGTGAATCCTTTCCCCATTTTTATGATCTCTTTGAGATACAGCCCTAGAAGTGTTATTGCGGGGTCAAAGCTGTATAGCCCTTTGGGCATAGTTCCATATCTAGCCCTAATTTCTTTCCCTAGCTGAGTTCTATATCACCAACTGCCTTTTGAGCATCTCAAATTAGATGTTTCCTAGACATCTGAAACTCAATATGTACAAAACAGAACTTACCACATGCGCCCCCCACCGCCGCCCACCCCCTTGCTCCAAAAAACAAACCTCTTCCCTTCCAAACCTCCCTATTACTGTTAAGAACACCATTGTTCTCCCAGTCATCCTGGCTTGCAGCCTTGGTGTCATCCTCAACTGCTTACTCATACTCACCTCACTTATCCAATCCTGTTGAGTTTTGATGTTTCTACTTTGACAGTTTATAACTCTGGTATATGTTCCTTTTTCTCCACCTTTGTCACCTCACTGCTGGACTTTGAAATAGGCTTCTGGTTGATCTCCTATCTCTGACGTGTAAACCAGCCTCAACTCAGCTGCCAAAATGATTTTCCTAAGGCATAGGCCTGACCCTGTGAACTCCTTACTCAGCAAGTTCTGATGGATCCACATTACCTGCATGATCAAATATGAAATGCTCTCTTTGCCATTTAAAGCCTGTTAAAACATAGTCCCTTTCTATTTCCGTTCCTCTTTGAATACCTCACTTCTGTATGGGTACTCTGCAGTTCAGCTATGCAGACCTGTGTGTAGTTCTTTGCACACAGCACTCCTTTTGAAACTGAGTGGTGCAATAGATAGAGCATTTGGGCCTGGAGCTGGGAAGACCTGGAGTTGAAATCCAGCCTCAGATACTTACTAACTCTGTCAGCCTGGGCAGGTCATTTTACCTCTCTTTGCCTCAGTTTCCTCAACTATAAAATGGGGATGATAATAATAGCGCCTACTTCACAGGATTATTTTGAGAATCAAGTGAGATAAGATTTGTAAAGTGCTCAGCCACGGCCTGGCACATGATAGACCCTTAACAAATGCTTCCTCCCTTCCCTTCTCTCAACTCCATGCCTCCTCACTGCCTGTCTGCTG